AAAATATTAAATTTCAATTTCATAATAATATTATGCCAATGTCTCTTGCAGATGTCAAATTCTTACATATTTTATCCGTCAACGCCTAAGACAATGATCGTAAGTAGTTAATTTGAAGTTCATAACTTTCACGATTGGATGAAATGAAACCTATTTTTTATATTTAAACGTAACGTGTTTGCATTAAAGATAATACACAAAGATTGATATATATTTATATTTTTTTTTATAGAACACACCCCGGCGACGCCTGTTAGGTGGTTCAACCAGCGGTTGAAATCCGACCTGGACTCTGTAAGTAACTGTAGACTAATTGAATTATCATATATTTCTTACAGTTTAACGAAATTATTCGTATATATATATATATATGAATCTCTTTTCTTGTTTCAGCCCACCATCGAGTGGGAGAGTTTCCGCTCCGCTAAAATAAGTGAATTAATGGAGAAGGTGGAGTCGTTGGAGAGACAACAGCAGGCGCAGCGCAGCGCAGTTATTCTTCGCTGTAAATGCGTTTGTAACAATCAGAAATATAACTATATTTTTTTTTGTAGGTGTTAACTCTGTTAAGTGGCTAGATGATAGCAATAATAATGTAGATGTTAGCTCTGTTAAGTGGCTAGATGATAGCAATAATAATGTAGATGTTAGCTCTGTTAAGTGGATAGATGATAGCAATAATAATGTAGATGTTAGCTCTGTTAAATGGATAGATGATAGCAATAATAATATAGATGTTAACTCTGTTCTGTTAGAAAATTTAAATGCTTTTGTTAACTGTATTCCCGATCAGTTTGACAATTTTAAGGTTACCAATAACTATGTAAATGATTTTAGCAATATTTATGATTTATTATTACCCAACTGTGTAGAATATGTATTATTATGTACCTATGAGATGTATGGCTCTTAGTTTTAATAAAATCTGAATATTTCTTCCGAAAAAAAAATGACCAATTAACCGATCTATGTATATTCATCGACTGAGTTAGTCTGCATTATATTTAAATATGTGAAAAATCGTATGTATTCTTAAGTAAACATTAGTTATGATAAGAAAGTGTAATGTTTACAACATTAAACTATTTGGATTGAAAATACAATAAAAAGAAACAATGGTTTAAAATGGTTTTAAAAAAATTATTAAATGATTACAGCTGTCAGAACTCGCTTAACCTTGTTATATAATTGATCGTCTAAAAAGGGGGAAATTTCTCGAAGAAACATACTCCTCATGGATGTAACTGACATGTGCAAGACTCGCCTTGTAAAAGGTGAGACAACCGCGAGTGGCCTTTTATTACTAAAAGGAAATACAAGCGTAATAGTCAACCAATTCATGGGAGACTTTTTTCACATACAAGGTTATAATATTAATTTATTGATTTAATTATTTTCATTTTTAAACAAACATTCCAATAAAATTTGAAGTCAATCACTTTTTTCATTGACAAATTAAAAAATGAACCATTCTATCAAGTTCTGAACACATTTATTTATCATTTGTATTTTTTGTGTCTGTGTCTCTGTCAATAAAGATATTTTTATTCTTTCCTCGCCACCGAAAGTGAAGGCCTCATCACGCCTGGTTACGGGAAGTGAATAACTTCAACAACTCCATGCGGCCGCCAACCACTCCGCCTTCAGCGATTCTTGTAGGTAGGTATCTCATATGTATCATGTTAATAGCCTTCATCGTGGGATAATTCATGATTAAATTTTTCCTTTAAAAAAATGTATTCTAATCAAATGCCAATTATGTTATTTTTCTCTCTTAGCCGACAAAGGTGAGAGGAAAGAAAAGAATAGGAAGTACGATTAGCACCGAGGATGATGTCTTATTCCAGTGATGATGAGGAGGAGTAACCATCCATCAATTTTGGGACGAAATTTTCTTTTTGGATTGTTGTTCATATACATGTATTTATAAGTAACTGACGAAATAACAGTATAAAATTTTCTAATCATCATTAAAAAAGCCTCCTCGATCTGATGTTTTCTTTCAAATATAACGATAAGTAATTATAATAAATGCATACTGAAAAAAAAGAATAGAACAGGGAAAGCATGAAATCCAATTCAATAGCAGTGACGATGAGGACTTGGTACCGATTAGAAAAGTTACATTTGTACAAGTAGGGAACAATTTAATGCTTTCGATGATTTGAACATAGACGAGAATGCTACAACAAGACATCAGATAATTAAAATGGTTACTAAAAATAAAATTGTACAAAGTATGGACACGTACTGGATGAGGGCACTGCTAACCACCCCTGCAGTCCTTGGATGTGGGGGGCAAATCTACCAATGCACCATACTACTGGGTTCACATGATCTAATGAGGGGATGCCGGAACTCCTCTGCAAAGATTGCCTAGAGTTAACGGAGGTAACCACTGACCTGGAGAGCTTCAGATGCCCTCTATAAAGACGGTATACTGCAAAATATCCCAGTTCACTATATTGACACTCGACACTTATCCAAGTTGATCGAAAAGGCAATTAAAAAAAGATAAAAACAACTTTTAGAGATCATGCACAAGAGAACCAAGGCAGAAAAAACCAAACTTTTGCAAAACTTTGCCCTAGACGCTGTCGATGCACCTTACTCTGGAGCCGGCACGAAACAAATCAGTAGAGGATCCACTGCAAGATCCACGGTTTTGGTCGTGAGGCGCACCACCCGAAATGCATTTTTTAAAAGTAAAGTAAAAAAAGGTGTAAATATTAAAATGTTCATTTTTTTTAGAATAATTGTGTTCATGGAGCTTTTTTATTGCCTCGGGCTCGAGCTTAAGCTAACATCATATTTTTCGTGTATTTTAAATTCTTCCTTGGGGTTTTCATAAAGTTCATATTTTTTTTTAATTTAAATAACCCTTTTTGTTTTATACATATTGAGTTATATAAATATGTATATATTGAGAATATGTTTATATATATTGGGTTTTCTGATGCGATTCATTTAATTCATGCTCATTTTGTATTTTATCTTGGGTCTGGTCCACTTGGCCACCAGGAGGAATGGTGGCAATTCATTACATCCACGTCATAATCACTCGTCGTCTGATCATTATGCTACAGGTGATACTCTATGCGATTCTGATTGGTCTTGTCTACAGATAGGAATTATCCCTCTTTTGTTGTGACGGTTAAGGTGATCCTCTCTCCAGGTCTCGTAGAGCCATGTGACCTTTTCAGGTCACTGCTCTACGGTTGTCACTCACAGTGACGTCTCCTTTAGGTCACCAAAATGTCATCCATTACCTTTCTCCATTGTTCTCCCCCCTCGTTTTACAATAGAGAGGGGTTAACCTAATCATCCCGATTGTCCATTCCATTGTTCTCTCAGACAATATACCCATTGTTTAACCCCCCACCATATGTCGGCTATACTTTTGAGAGCGACTGAGGGGATCAAACTAAACAGCCACCACAGAGGGAACTAGATTTCCTTGAGAACATTTCGTTAGATTCTGTGATCTTCCGTCAGATGACTTTGTGAGAGACTTGTTAGAGGCAAAAAACCTAACTCGACCATAGGAGGAGGACACACATCGTGAGGGACGTACCGAGACAACATAGAGTCGCGTGAATTGCGAGACCATGTTCGAGTGTGAAGATAGTGACTATGGACACAACAATGTGACGCAAACCAAGTCAACTATTTGTTTGGTTCTAAACAAAGTGACAATTACTTTTCCTGATGGAAAAATTGACGTTTGTAGGGATTCGCAAATCCTATATTCCGATGACATTCATCTGGAAAATGCTGACTTTAATTCTGTAGTAAATGAAGTGTTTTAGTAAGTAAAAAAAACATTTCCGAGAAGGAAAAACGCGTGTGATGAAAGGAAACTTTTCTGTATAAATTTACCGGATAAAAATTTTAGTGCGTCGTTTACCGCTCAACGGCGCTATATTCCCTTTATTGAGGAAGGACTTATCACATTTCGTTATACAGATTCCTATTCGTCATTATGGTGGAGAAAATCGGAAATCCTATCCTACCAAGAAAGGCGTTACACTGTATTTGAAAGAATGGATAGTGTTAGAGAGATTTCTAAACGGTATGGAAGCAGCTTTGATAAAGTAAAGAATCTCCACTATTGGATCTCCGCCTTTTTTGGAAACCAGACCCTTTATACCTACTACAAAATGTCTGAAACTCAACCAAGGAAAGCTACTAAATCGGAAAAACGTAACATCAATCATCGGGGATTACATTCCTCAGCTAATGTTCCAAGACCATGCGGAGTACCCCGTTCTCCCTACTAGTATTGACCTTCAGTCTTTAGAGGGAATTTCAGAATGAATAAATATATAGCTAAACAGTTGTAAAATCAAATCATTGCCCTACAATATCACAGACCATTTCACTATGGAACGAATGAACGAGAAGCATTGCAGATAGATGATAAGGAGTTTTTATAATATAATTATTTTTGCTGTGGAAATTGTCGATTTCTGGTTGATATAGTATATGAACAGTATTATGGATGTTCTGTCCATCATCTGAGCCAAGTGCAGCACCTATGCATCATGGAGACTTCTTTAACCCCACTTATGCAGTATGTATTTCAGTTTAGAAGAATCGTAATGGAAAAATGGTTGAAGAAAATAATGTAAGAAAATTTAACTTAAAAGGTGGTATATGCATTGTATAGTACATAAAAGTAAGGAAACCTTAGTCATATAGATAAATGCTTGAATATTATGTACAACACATAATCATACATTATAATTAATTCATTTCTGATACAGAATATGTGAACTAGCACAAAGTATCTGATTTGTACATAACTTATAAATGTTTTCAATGATAAGAATTATATCTTTATAGTAAATTTGACTGTCTTGGTGAATAGACTGTGAAAGACTTCAGTTGAGGGCAAATATTACTATGTTTGCATTTGTATCTATGTGTACATGCATTCGTTCTTTATGAAATATGCAAATTTGATACCTAATAATAAATCTTTAGGGGGTATAAATAGCTTGAATTTTCCTCAACTAACCACTTGCAGTTTGCTAAATTCTGAAAAACAAGATTTATTTTAAAAACCTGCAGCATCAATTAAAGAAAAACAACTATGAGCGCCATTTCAACTACAAGCATGGAAATTCAATATGCAACTGAAGGAGATTATAAGTTAAAACAGTTGGCAATTGGAAGAGAGAAAAGAGTAGTAGTGAAGTACTTCGGGGATTACGAGTATGTGCACATCTATGACAACAGAAAAGATGCCAAATTTAAAGGTATAACGCTAGGGATTGATGAATTCAGCATGTTACAGAACATCGTACAGTGGATGGGAAAAGCAGACGACTTTTTCAAGAAGGTAATAAACTCTTTTTTATTCAATATTCTCCATATCACACTTAAAGAAAAAGACCTCTTATGTCTTCTCTTGCTGATATGTTTTTTTTTTATTTGCATTTTTCAGCCTTTACCAAAGGAAGAGTTTAAAAGGGCTGGCGTCATGACAATAGAGTCGGTCACTGTAGATCTTTTTCAACCAAAGGTCAAGGGATCTTCAGAAAACGTTTCGAGTGAAGAGAAGGAAAAATCAGAAAACGTTATCATTCCGAGCAAAGATGTTGTGCAACAGGAACAATTACAACAGACACAGGATGTTCTGGGAAAAGGTGAAGACCAGGAAGATTACCAGTCGCTTCTGGACACCCTACAGAGTCTGGAATTTCAGCCCAAACCCGTGGAAGAACCGCAAAGCCTTTCACCCAAACCAGTAGAAGTTCTGCAAAACTCTTCAACTTCCACATCACAATCCTCCTCATCACCTAAACCAGTGGAGATTCTGCAAAACAATTCAACCTCTACATTACAGACCTCCACATCACCCAAACCGGTAGAGGTTCTGGAGAACCCTTCAACCTCCGCGTCGATAGCTACAAAAGAATGTGTGTCGACTTCTCCAATATATGAGCCTTTAGTAGAACCGATCACGCCAGTAAAGGTGAAAAATGACCTTAAAATGAAAAACCCGGGATTCAAGAGACATCGCTTGTTCCCATATCCTTCACTACCACCATATAAGTACTGATTGTGTAACAGATTGGGAATTTTAACTTTAATAATGACATAAAAGTGAGCAAGAAAACAAACATTTCATCAATTTATTAATCACAATTTTACAACTCATAGTGTAGGAAAACTTTGTTTGTACACATGGTATCTACTAGTTATATTTTTGTACATAAAATCTTCCCAGAATTATCCACTGAATAAATCATTTAATTTTTTACAGTTTCTATATCTCTATGTCCATAAGCCTAGGTCTCTACTCCGCAAGACTTTACAAAGCGTTCATCATCGAAACACGATAACGAGGTTTTATTGACTTTATCACAATAGAGTTCGTGGTTATCACTGCTCATTAAAGTCATGTTGTGGTTATGTCTGTCCAATATAGAGTATTAAAAAAATTAATAAAATTTATATTTCTTGTGCACATTTTTTTCAAGATGAGAATAAAAATTTCAACCGAAGAAGAAAAAAATGAAATCTTCAATTTTCCGGATTACTTTCATGTGGAAACAGTTCTGTTAATGGACATGTGTGCTTTAATGTTCATCGGTAAGCTTATATATTTATTTATACAATAACTCAAATTTTAATTGCATTGTTTAACTTTATTTCTTTTGTATTAATATTATATTGCTGACAAATAAAGTAACTTTAACCGTACTAATAACCGTACCCAAGTCGGTGTGTTATAGACGTTCATTTGGTGCCGTGACCAGGGTTTGGATTCGAACGGGTGACCACAGAAAACCAACTTGTTGGGTTCTTTGTCGACGGCTTGTATTCGGACAGATTGAAACTAAAGATCATGAGAGATAATACTGCTACTATGCAGGATGCAGTCAATTCTGCCCGAGCCGAATTTAATTTACAAAAACGATTTCAGTTAAGAACTGAGAGAAATTCCTTTGCCCCGGCAACCTTCACGGGAGAACCCATGGAGGTTGACCATTATAGATAGAAATAAAGAGGGACAAAGACCAAGACAGTTTGTCAGAAAGACATTCAACCCAGAGAAAGTTTTAGCGGTCGAGACAATACGACCTCGTAATGATGTAGTATGTTAAACCTGTAACAAAAGAAGACACTATAGTCCTAAATACCCAACTAAAAAGAAGAAGATTGAATCTATTAATGCACCAGGAGAGGATGAAGAACAAATTGGGGGAGGAATGGTACACAATTGGAACATACCTTACATATAAACAAACTATTATAAACAAACTAAATATTAACTTTTAATCAATGTTGCGTTTTAGTATATTTGATTAATAAGGACAGGCATAATAATAACCATCACCGACTACTGCTTTCATCGCTGGAGTTGACCCTGTCGACACCATTACGAAAGTTTATCCGAAACTGAAGACGGATGTTCTTACAGCCAAAAATGACGACCCCACTGCATTGTGAATGAACTCTTATGTAAGTCGATCCCGCTTTCGAATAAGAGCCGAGGATCGTGAATTTTGGACAGTGGGTTAATTTCGAGATTAATGTTTAATAAAACATGCATTACTGTGTTGTTCGTCTCCAGGTGGAGGGATTCTTTATTGTGTCGTAAACTGTGTGTTGTAACTAATTATCCATTCTTTATTTTATTTTAACATAATGTACCTACAGACGAGGGAGAATTACTTTATGCCAATACGTACAAACCAAAGTGGCACAAAATACCACGGAAAAATCAACCAGTTCAAATTCAATCGTCTATGAATTAAACTAATTCATCTCTCGTGAGGGAGGAATGTAACACAATTGGAACATACCTTACATAAAAACAAACTATATATTAACTTTTAATATATGTTGTGTTTCGTATATTTGATTAATAAGGACATATGTGTAAAAGGCATAATAATCCTAATATGTCTTTGACAGCCATTCAGATTCTTATGCACTCTATTTCTATTTACTAATTATGTCTTTGATGTAGTCAATATTGATGTAAATATTAATGTGAAGTGGTCAAATAGGATCAGTAAGATATAAACTATGACCAGCAGTTTCTTTATTACAGAAAATCTGGATAAACATTAAAACCATCTGTTATTCAGTACTTAGTTAATAGATAAACTGATTATTGTTCAGCAACATTGTTTAGAAATATTGTTTATCGAAAGTTCTCTATAATAAATCTGTAAAGCTTACTTGTTTTCTTTTAAGGTACGTACATGTAAATTCAATCATCTTTATGTTAATCATATTCATATTTATATACCGTTCAAAAGTTAACGCAACTAAATTGTAATATGTTGAAAACAATGAAATGTTATTAATAATTTATTTCTTTTTCAGAATGTTTTGTAATATTAATTATTTTATGAACATATGAGTTGGGGTTTCTCTATAATAAATCCGTAAAGCTTACAACTTGTTTTCTTTTAAGGCCGATATTATCAGAGGCTGAATTCAAGTGTTGCCATCTCTCACAAGCCAAGCGAGAATCCGGCTCACACAAAAATACATAAAAATCAACTACAATAATCTGGTGGAGAATCTTAATAGACCCGGACGATGGATCTAAGAAGTGTGCGCCAGACGAATTTCCAAGGAATGCTCCCATCGGGATCAACAACCCCAACAGCGCCACCTTCTATATGACTGCAAGGGTTGATGAGGGCAACAAGGATCCTCCAGGATACGCCAATTACTAGAGGTGCAGTTTTGTCCTCCTCTGTTCCTTCGTCTTCTTCGTTAATATCTTCAGTGGGTTCCGAACCGCTTACATATGTATCCTCATCTTCTCGTCCTCCTCCTCCATCATTCTCGAAGTCATCTTCATCTATAGGGCAAGTTCCGACGCCAAAGGAGCAAAGACATGCTCCGAATGTAATTAAACGTTCTCAGTACCATCAGGCTGAACTGGCTAGCCAGTGGTGGTCATTGTTCATGGCCATGGTGGCATATTTTAATATGTCAGAATCGGCGGCATTGTCGGCCTTTCCTTTCTACTTGTGTGGCATTCCCAAGCAATGGTATTTCCAATTAAGCAACTCCGCGACATCTTCTTTAACCAATCTCAAACAGGCATTTTTAGAAAGATTTCAAAACAAAAAACAACATTTGACGTGAAGTTATTGAGTTTAAAACAATACCAAGAGGAAACAGTCGATGACTACATGGCCCGTGTAACGCGTTTAACCACTGAGTATGATCTTCCCATGCCCCTGCTAGTGGGGATTACTATTCAGGAGTTAAAATCCGACCTGAGGCAAATCGTAATGCCGCAGAGTCCAGAAACGTTACAAAAAGTACGTACCGCGACTCCACAGGAACATAGACATGCTTAAAATGTCTTTAAACTTTCACCATACCATCTGTGTGATCCGGTGAGCCTTTGACTGAATGCCCATGAAATAACAGGCTACTCATGTAAGAAAACTAAACCTGTCATACCCAGATTTGTTATACTGATCATTGTAATTTTATTTCAGATTATTTTGTAATCTCTCTCTTCATATTACCATTTAATAAATTATCAGTCTTGTAACCTGTCTTCTTTTAAGTGACGATGTTATCGAGGCACAAGTGCGGCAAACACCATCACAACCAAATCAGAACTTACCACACAAGATCTGACCAGACAAGAAAACCACACTAAACACGCAAAAACACTTTACTAAACTAGATAGTATTAGAATCTTAACGAATGTAACTTTCAAAAGAATAAGACTAAAATGCCATAGAAACCAGTTCAAATATTGTACAAGTCTCGACAAAGACTTCCCTTACTCCGAAATTGTTCACAATAAAGATCCAATATAAATTATAAGTTGTTAAATACCAGAATGTTTCAAATACCATGCAGTTCGGAATTTGGCTTTCACAGTTATAATCAGAACTGATATTATCACGAGAAGACTTAATTAGATACAACAAAAATCAAGACTTAAAACTGGTCACAGATGTGACACACCTTACAACCATTCTACTTGGAGAGAAAACGCGGTCTTGCCGACTGTAACTGTAAGCCCTACATGCAAGTTTCTCCTATTCCCATCCCACGAGAAATAAAAATATTAAACACAACCTGAACACCCGTTTTATGCTACATTATTAAAAGTATTTTCACATCGTGTTTTTTTTTTACCGGTATATCACACCAATATAAATTTTAAAGCATTTCGTCTATAATTTTATCCCCCCTCACCTTTGCTTCAAATGACGGCCTTTGTTCAGAGTGACCCTTTACAAGTGGCCGTGAGACTATACTGGACATTGTTTAATCCGTTGTCCGATCGATATATAGCCAACAGCACGTTATTTGTAATCCTTATACCGATTTCCAATATTATGAGGTACCATAAAGGGGGAACCGATTTTACATCACAGGTAGTTTTTTTTAAAGTTAACAAATTATTAAAGGGCATTGCTAAACAGAGTAGGATAGAGTACTTCACAGTGCGTTAGAAAAATTGTGTAATTTAATGCAATAAGATTTTTTATTTATGTACATACACTAGATTTAACATTAGTATAAAATAATATTGCTATATTTGCATCAAATGTTTATTTTTTAGCGATATTTTGACAAGAAAACAACAGGCATGATTCAGTCAATCATTGCATTAAAGATTATTAACATCCCAATCTGGAATATTAATTAGTTTCAGACTTGCTAATTTCAGCCAAATTTTTTGGTTTTATTCATCAAAAATTAAAATGATTGCCTAACGTACTATTTTCAAAATTAAAAATGAAACATTTCAACTTTTTCAGATCGGGATCCTAAGATAAACCTTGACCTGAAATACAACATTGAAATAAGTTCTTCAAAAGGAAAAACACATACATATTATTTAAAATATATATTCATGATGTTAAATTAATGTAGAAAAACATACAAAAAGCAGTTTGATTGCATTAAACTGTAAAATTTTACTACCGATGTCTAAAGTACTCTATCGTACTCTGTTAAGTAGGGCCGATAATAAAAATATGAAGAAAAAAATTACTTCATGAAAAAACTTCATCAAGCAAGAGACTTTAAAGTTATAGGTGTTTTCCCCTTTTTGA